TCATTAAAATCTTTGAGATAAGGGTTGGGTGATAACCATTGTTAACCGCTATTTGTTTAATGATGTTCATCTCTTTATTATAGTTCTCTTCATTAAGTGGGACATTTGTAAGCCTATAAATCATACTATGGAATGCTGCGAGATTGTGTTGGGTTGGATGGTTTGAATGGGCATGTATTACGTGGTCTGTGGCCGTTGGTTTTCTATAAATATTAAAGCTGAAGTTGTTTTTTGTTCTGGTAATGGTTAGGTCTAGGTAGTTGAGGGATTTTTTAGATTCTATTTCTAGGGTGAACTTTAGTTTTGGATGGACGTTGTTCGTGTATTTCAGAAGGACATCGAGTTGTCTTTTATTGCCTTGGAATGCGACTATGATGTCGTCAGCATATCTGTGGTATTCTAGTATTTTAGAGGTATGTCTGTTCTTCTCATCATTCAGGATTTCGGAATTTTCAATGTGGTTTAGGAAAATTTCGGACATTACTGCTGATAGGGGGGAACCCATGGCTAGACCTGTGTTTTGGGAAAAGAATTCGTTATTATATTCAAAGTAGTTTTGTTCCAGGACTGTTTCTATTAGATTCGCAAGGTCGTTGATGTAGGCGGTGTCTCTAATTCCCTGTTGTACTAGATTTTTTCTCAGTATTTCAATTGTTTCTTTTATAGGTATGTTTGTATAGAGGTTCTTTACATCAAATGATGCTAACAAAGCTGTTTCAGGAATTTTGGTGTTTTTTAGTTTATTTATCAAATCTAGCGAGTTTTTTTAGGGATCTATCATTGTTCAGTTTTATTTCTTGGCGGATTATTCTGTCAAGTAGTTTTGAAAGTCTGTAAGATGGAGAATTAATGGAGTTTACCAGTGGTCTAATAGGTTCTCCAGGTTTGTGGAGTTTCGGCAGTCCTCTGAATTTTGGAGCATTTGGTTTGATTGTTCTGCAATGATATTTTTGGTTGTCTGCTAATATTGTCGATGACTTTTTTTATGCGTTCGTGGAAGGATTTTGTTGGGTCTGACTGTAACTTTATAATGTTGTTTTCATCGAAGAAACTCATTATTTTGTTATGGTGATCATTATTGTTTACTATTACCACTGTGTTTCCTTTGTCTGCCTTTGTTATAGTTGCGTTTGATTCCTGAAGTTTGGTTTTTATGTTTTTCAAAGTTTGGAGTTGGGATCGTGCTGTTTTGTTTTTTGGTTTTTTAATGTGTTTCATCAATTTATTGTGAGTGAGGATTCTGGTTTGATTTTGGGTTTCTTTAGGTAGAGTTTGGATGGTTGACTCGAAATCTATTATAAGGTTGGAGTCATTGTTTTGGGGAATACTGTATTTCAGGCCTTTGTTTAGGAGGTCTTTTTCATCATTGTTAAAAGTTATTTCAGTTTTGTTTATTAATCGTGGATAGAATTCATGGTCTGAGAATTGTTGTGATGAATCAGGTTTTTGGCTACGTAGCAGTTTGTCAAGTTTTTTGTTTTGAATATTTTGCTTTTCTTTTATTTTGTTTTTAAGCCAAACGTCAATGTTTTCTAGGAGGGATTCTATTTCTATAAAATCTAGACATTTGAAAAGTTCTAGGTGCAGTTTAGCTAGTTCAGTGTTTAGATGATGAGTTTTTCTGTAGAGTGAATTTATTTCGTTATCTAGCCAAGTTTTTTCAGCTGCTTTTTTAGCCAGTTGAGCTGATTCTGATTTGTTGTTTATTTTTACCTGGATGTAATTTGGTACGATTTGGTGGTCTTTGCAATATTTATTGTATTTGATGTCCTCTAGGGTTGTATATAGTCGTAGTTTAGCTTTCCTATATTTGTAGGCTACATTAGCGGTAAACTTGTTTTCATTTGGAGATATAGCCTCTGGATCGTTATTGAACATAATTAAATCTAAGGCTTACCTTACGATCCAATTTAATATATAGTGGAGACCTAGGTTTCTACGTCGAAACGTTATCGTCAGTCCTTTGTCTCATAGGTTAGCTAAACATTTTGTTTGCCATCTCTTGCTTGAGATATTGTCGATTTGGTGTAATTTGTACATACATTGGTCACATTTAAATATTTACAAAGACATATATAGAAACAACACAGATACATGGCCATGATCTTCGTCTTCATCAAACCTAACCTCCGAAATTGGGATGTGATGACTTTCGCTTCTAGCAGCATGGTCTTATCACTCCATAGAGTTATGTATTTTGCAAACAGGTGTTTGATAATACTGTATTGTATTATTTATTTTTAATTTCAATTAATGTATCAAACATGATGTTAGCGGCGAAGTTTCTTTGGTCATTTAGTATGAGGGATGGGTCTGTTTTGGTAGCGTTATATATATGAAAATGTTCTATTGTATTTAACTTGTTGCTTTTGGGGGCTTTATGTAAGATCTCTAAGTTGGCATCTATTGAGGTGTAGGAATGGTTTTCTGAAATAAGATGTTCGGAATAGGTTGATGAGCTGGCTGAATTCTTTCTGGGGAGATGTTCTTTGAAACGCTGGCGGAAACTTCTGCCCGTTTGCCCGATATAAAATTTGGGGCAAGAGCCACAAGTTAATTTGTAGACCCCCGTACCTTCGTAGTTGTCTACAGTTGTCATTTGCTTTTTATTTAGCAAGCTCCCGAGGTTGTTAGTCGATCTGTAGGCAACTTTGAGTCCCTGTTCTTCTAAGATTTTATGGAATGAATTGTTTATTTTTCCGTGGTAGGTAGTAGTCACAAATTCCTTGTTAGCTTTGGGCTCTTGTTTTCTTTGGTTTCGTTTTTGTTTCATTAAAATCTTTGAGATAAGGGTTGGGTGATAACCATTGTTAACCGCTATTTGTTTAATGATGTTCATCTCTTTATTATAGTTCTCTTCATTAAGTGGGACATTTGTAAGCCTATAAATCATACTATGGAATGCTGCGAGTTTGTGTTGGGTTGGATGGTTTGAATGGGCATGTATTACGTGGTCTGTGGCCGTTGGTTTTCTATAAATATTAAAGCTGAAGTTGTTTTTTGTTCTGGTAATGGTTAGGTCTAGGTAGTTGAGGGATTTTTTAGATTCTATTTCTAGGGTGAACTTTAGTTTTGGATGGACGTTGTTCATGTATTTCAGAAGGACATCGAGTTGTCTTTTATTGCCTTGGAATGCGACTATGATGTCATCAGCGGTATTCTAGTATTTTAGAGGTATGTCTGTTCTTCTCATCATTCAGGATTTCGGAATTTTCAATGTGGTTTAGGAAAATTTCGGACATTACTGCTGATAGGGGGGAACCCATGGCTAGACCTGTGTTTTGGGAAAAGAATTCGTTATTATATTCAAAGTAGTTTTCAGTCCTTTCATCTAGTACAACAGGGAATTAGAGACACCGCCTACATCAATGACCTTGCGAATCTAATAGAAACAGTCCTGGAACAAAACTACTTTGAATATAATAACGAATTCTTTTCCCAAAACACAGGTCTAGCCATGGGTTCCCCCCTATCAGCAGTAATGTCCGAAATTTTCCTAAACCACATTGAAAATTCCGAAATCCTGAATGATGAGAAGAACAGACATACCTCTAAAATACTAGAATACCACAGATATGCTGACGACATCATAGTCGCATTCCAAGGCAATAAAAGACAACTCGATGTCCTTCTGAAATACATGAACAACGTCCATCCAAAACTAAAGTTCACCCTAGAAATAGAATCTAAAAAATCCCTCAACTACCTAGACCTAACCATTACCAGAACAAAAAACAACTTCAGCTTTAATATTTATAGAAAACCAACGGCCACAGACCACGTAATACATGCCCATTCAAACCATCCAACCCAACACAAACTCGCAGCATTCCATAGTATGATTTATAGGCTTACAAATGTCCCACTTAATGAAGAGAACTATAATAAAGAGATGAACATCATTAAACAAATAGCGGTTAACAATGGTTATCACCCAACCCTTATCTCAAAGATTTTAATGAAACAAAAACGAAACCAAAGAAAACAAGAGCCCAAAGCTAACAAGGAATTTGTGACTACCACCTACCACGGAAAAATAAACAATTCATTCCATAAAATCTTAGAAGAACAGGGACTCAAAGTTGCCTACAGATCGACTAACAACCTCGGGAGCTTGCTAAATAAAAAGCAAATGACAACTGTAGACAACTACGAAGGTACGGGGGTCTACAAATTAACTTGTGGCTCTTGCCCCAAATTTTATATCGGGCAAACGGGCAGAAGTTTCCGCCAGCGTTTCAAAGAACATCTCCCCAGAAAGAATTCAGCCAGCTCATCAACCTATTCCGAACATCTTATTTCAGAAAACCATTCCTACACCTCAATAGATGCCAACTTATAGATCTTACATAAAGCCCCCAAAAGCAACAAGTTAAATACAATAGAACATTTTCATATATATAACGCTACCAAAACAGACCCATCCCTCATACTAAATGACCAAAGAAACTTCGCCGCTAACATCATGTTTGATACATTAATTGAAATTAAAAATAAATAATACAATACAGTATTATCAAACACCTGTTTGCAAAATACATAACTCTATGGAGTGATAAGACCATGCTGCTAGAAGCGAAAGTCATCACATCCCAATTTCGGAGGTTAGGTTTGATGAAGACGAAGATCATGGCCATGTATCTGTGTTGTTTCTATATATGTCTTTGTAAATATTTAAATGTGACCAATGTATGTACAAATTACACCAAATCGACAATATCTCAAGCAAGAGATGGCAAACAAAATGTTTAGCTAACCTATGAGACAAAGGACTGACGATAACGTTTCGACGTAGAAACCTAGGTCTCCACTATATATTAAATTGGATCGTAAGGTAAGCCTTAGATTTAATTATGTTCAATAACGATCCAGAGGCTATATCTCCAAATAAGTTCAAACCTTAACTAACTGAGGATTCTAGAAGCAAATTGACTTAGGCTACATGCAGATATTATTTTGGGGTACTTAACCAGGAAACCACCATTTACTGGAAAGCCTACCTTTTAAGAGCACACCAGAGTCCTTGAGGGATTTATGCTCCCCAGTCCACCTGACGTATATATAGTTGATAACAACTGTGTAGAAGAGATTGAGAACATCAAACACAGAATGTCTGGCATTGCACTCCCTGCAAAGATAACAGAAGTAAACAACATTTTCATCACTCTTCTCTAGCTGGTTAACTTCTCTAAATGTACAGTACCGTTAGTGATACATTTATTTATTATCCAGCAGCGGATTAACTGTGATTTAAAATTCACTGTAATGGTAACTGGTCAAAACCTAGCATAAAGAATTTCAAGTAAAATATCAAATTTGATTCAGGATATGCGGTGATGTTATTTTATTAACATGTATTCTGATTAAGTATTGAAGTTTTGAATAGTGTTTTAACAGTTATTAAAAATCAAAAGTTCCTTAAATAGGTTTTTATTGTAAAATTACCAAACATAAAAAAAACTGATGACCATTGAAAAAATATAATAATCCAGTGCGAGTAATATTTAATAAATTGGAAGATATCTGCTACAGTTGGCTATTTTAAACTACGGTATATACTAGGGACAGCTAAGTAAAAACATTATTAATTTTTTAGCTAATTTCCCTATAGGGAAGTAAATAATACCGTAGGGGCACGGTAAGGTATAGGCCCGGGACTGATTTCGTTTTTTTATTTCGATGTCCCCAGAGTATATTAAGTGGTTATTTTTACCTTTTATACCCTAAGAAAGCAGAAACAAGTCTTACCTCAATTTCTGTCTGTTCATTTGTCTGTTTGCCTGTCATTGTGTCTGTAACGTAAAATCCCAATTTACGTGGCCTACTCAGAGAAAACTAGAATACCGATCATGAATCAAATAGTTTAATTATATTTAGTGAATTGGCGAGAGTGTCTTTAGCCAATAAAATATGGCCTCATTACTTAACGGACGTTCAAAACCCCAATTTTGTGCGATTTTTGTCAAGTTTTCTCCCAATATTTACAACATACGTCATTTATTAATTACCAATCATCAACTAAAATCGAAAATAGTTAGGCTAATTGGTAATACAATTTATAAAAAATGTTGTATGGGGTACACCATAAAACATGGTATAAACTAAGGGGTACGTAATCAAAAAAGTTTGGGAACCCCTGCTTTAGATCTAAGCCCTAGAAACATTAGGTTTCAATAAAGGTCTAAGTTATTCACATTTCAGCTGCTACCAATAGGTTGACTCTATGACCAGTCAAATTCTCGAGGAACTAGGTTGAATGATAAAAGTTAATTAACGGTGGCGACGTCCTGTTATCCAACTACTAGGAGGTCACGAATTGTGGTTATTTATAGGCATGCACTGTGGATGCAATACTCCCTGGTGTGGATTAACGTCCGCACTAGTGAGTACTACGTCTATCTGCAGTACTATCCTGATAATTAGACCAATTTGTTGATACCAAGGCAAAAATTTGGTTCGGATTCCACTATAAACTGTAGGTCCCTTAATTGCCATTAGCTGTATGTGCTATTAATTAACAGCTGTTTCTAAGGAATATGTCAGCCTTAGTCACTAACAAGACTACAAGATCGCGCCACTCATCCTACACTCATCTCCATTCATACTTGGCTTAAAATACCTACTTTGTATGGTCGCTATTACAATGAAAAGTATTAAAAGTATTGAAGTATTAATTAAATTTGCTGAAAGTTTAGAGGATGACAACTAAAATAGGTTGATAACTTAGTTAGGCCAGCTACTTGACTTCCACTATTGCCAGTGTGGATAAAGCCTTTGTGTTAAGTTTTTATTAGGCCTATATTAACTCAAAAATACTATTTTGGAATTTATATAAGACAAATAGTTGCTCTCTTCCTTAATATTAGTACATTTTGTTCAACGGTCGACACTGGAACAAGTACAGTAGAATGGCGGAGGGTTGCGATCTAAGTTAGGCTAAAATGCACTTTTACTGACAACCACCGTTCAAGAGCAGATACTAAGATAGTTCACTTTACATTGTTACATTGAATACATATTTCGTAAATAATGCACTTTGCAAGGTTAAATTTAAGCTATTCGTGTATTGACGGGAGCTTCAGTCGACGATCAGTCCAAAATGTCTTCGTTCTCCTTTAGACACCGGCGTCTCTACAAATCATTCTTCCTGAAAGACGCGATCCCATTGGCCATTGAGCATTCTATACACTGCTTCTGATTGGCTCCCTGGTTTGTATCAGACACCACCTTCCACAGCATCTGCTCAGACCCCCAACCGTCTCAAAGAAAAGATAGCAAATTTTAGATTGTAAATTTGATTATATTAACCCTTTGAGAATGAATTTTTTCCCCATTTTTCGGCGAGTATAGTTTGCCATTTTAGCTTTCCGTAAAATGGCGCCCGGCAACCTATACTCACCATTCGACCTAAAAAAACTGACTTTTTAAATTTTATTTAATTTTATTTTTTTGTTTCTATAGGTTGCCATTTTTGAGCAGTCGGCAAAATGGCGGGCAGTGACCTATAATCGCCATTCGACCGCAAAGGATTAATTTGTATAATTATGATCATTTTCCTTTTTCGTAGCATCGTTGCCAAATTTTACCAAGAGTTAGAAAACATAAAATAACGAAGATTATTGTCAGGTTATTTCTCGATCAGAGTTATAGTTACTGAGATAATTGACATTTCAACTATTCTGAAATTAACGGATTTACTGTAGTGCAATGAAATGAGTTTGGAACTCACTTTTAGCGAATGTCCCATATAGGTGAAGCCGACGGGCATCAGCTGGTATATATCTATATTTATAAAAGAGTAAGTTTGTATATTTGTCCGTATATATACAGCCCGCCCTCGCCCCTCGCTAGTCCGACGCTTTGAAATCCGACCCGCCGTCAGGCGCCGCTACGGGAGCAAAAAATCAAGCATGCAGTGACATGAAACACTGTGACTCACGTCTCGTTGCCGTCGGAGCACTTCCGTTCAGTGTTCAGTTGACTTTCGGGACGTGCAGTACACTTTCCCGGTGCAGTGGTATTTTCTTTGTTAGTAAGTGCAAGTGTTCTTGTACAGTAGTTGTGTGAAATGGCTAGTACAAGTGGTGTTAATTGGAAACACAAAACTTTAACAATATCGGAGAAGTGGGAGATTATTAAAAGAAAAGATAGCGGTGAAATGCCGACTGCAGTAGCGAAATTTTATGATATCGGACGGCCTACGATTTATGATATAATGAAGAATAAAGAAAAAATTTAAGGGTTTATGAAGTCTGTTGAAGACGACGCTTTAAACAGGAAAACCCTGAGAACAAGCGAGTTTCCTGAGGTGGAAGAAGCACTGTTCATTTGGTTTAAACAACAACGCACATGGAATGTTCCTATTTCCGGATACATACTTAAACAAAAAGCTCAATATTTCTACAAATAAATAACGAAAAAGAATGATTTTCGAGCTAGTCATGGATGGTTCAAAAACTTCAAAAACGCCATGGTATACGGTTTATGAAGATGTGTGGTGAAAAGGTATCTGCTGACAAGTCTGAGATTGATGCGTTCATTAGACAAAAAAATTACTGAGCTTGGAGTTCCCGAGCAACTGTACAACGCAGATGAAACCGGGTTAAATTGGCGACATCTCCCGGCAGAAACATTGGTAAGTGATGAGGAAAAAAAAGTGTCAGGAAGGAAATTGCAAAAAGAACGACTCACGCTTATGGTATGTGCTAATGCATCAGGCACTCATGCTTTAAAACTGCTTGTTGTAGGAAAATCGAAAAACCCTCGAGCATTCAAAAATGTCAAGGTTGAATCTCTGCCAGTAACTTACAAGTCACAAAGTCGCGCTTGGGTCACAAAAGAAGTTTTTCATGACTGGTACACTAACAGCTTCGTTCCACAAGTTAAGGCTGAATTAAAGAAGATCAAGTTACCAATGAAAGCCCTTCTTTTACTGGATAATGCACCAGGACATCCTAAAGCTGATGAATTGAAAATCAAAACTGCTGATGGCTACATTAAAGCTATGTACCTACCAAAAAATACCACAGCTTTAATCCAGCCCATGGATCAAAATGTGATAAAAACTCTCAAGGCTCACTACAAAAAGCGCATTCTTATGGATGTTGTCAGTCAACCTGATGCTGATATTGCAGCGATTTTGAAAGCTTTTAACATTAAGGACGCCATTTTGAACGCTGCATGTGCTTGGCAACAAGTAAAAAGCATTTAACTTCGATCAAATCTTGGAAAAATGTATGGCCTAACAATCCATGTCTTACAACATGTAATCCTACATCCAGCAGCGACCCAGAACCCGTTTTGGAGGCTACATTGGAACTTTGTAACGAAGTGCAACTTGCCCCCGCATCAGTTAGTTGAAGAGCTTAGAACATGGATCATGGAGGACAACCTTGATGCTGACGTGACAGACGCAGATATAATCCAGAAAGTTACAGCAGCTGATGACGACGTGATCGAGGACGCAGCGCCGGAAAAAACCTTCACCGTCAGCTGTGATGAAGCTGTATCGGCAGCTAATACTTTGTTACGTTGGTGCCAAGAGGGAGATATGGACATGACAAAAATTTTAGTTTTAAAAGGATTGCAAGAAGCAGCAATGATGGACTGTGTACAAAAAAAGAAGCAGAAGTCAATCACAGACTTTTTCAACAACTAAATACCGTGCTGAAACACGTATGTATTAATTTTACAGGGGCCTACTTTTTTAATGAATTGTGTACTTTTATGCATGCGTATTTTTTGGTATGTACATACAGTACTGTAATTGAAATGCCCGCCTTGTTCGTAACACTGTAAAATAAGTTTAGCTACATAAATTAAAATTGTGTTTCCTTTATTCTGTGTTTTTAATTCTTCCCAAGAATTTAATGGTGATTAATACATTGTTTAAAATGATAGTCATATCTTTTTGGCAATCAAATGCATTACAGAATAGCCATTTTCGATAATCCGACGTTTTTGGTAATCCGACACTACGTCAGTCCCGTACCTGTCGGACTAGCGAGGGCGGGCTGTATATATATATATATATTTGAACGTTATGAGCTCGGACACCATCGTGTAGAATTTCATGTAATAGGTTTATACACCATCAATTTCGTGATCCGTCCAATCGGCTCCGCCCCA